GTTAAACATGCACGCCAAGTGAGGAAGTGAATGTTACCATGTTATCAAATGACTAATGGCCAGTTCTGTCCCCTTATTTACTGTAAAGGATTATATAATTGATTGCAAACCAGATCATTATCATGACTTGAAAAGGAGTAGCCTTTCTGTTTTTCATACTGATAGAGTATTGCGGATATTTCGAGTGATAACGATTCGAGTGGGCTAGTTAATAAAAGTGGGAAAGGGGGAATAAAGAGCTAGATTCGATTGCATTCACTTAAACCTAGGTTATATTAAACGAAAATATGGAATATTTCAAATATGTAATTTTAATCAATCTATTTTTGCTACATAACCCCCTGTCGTGCTACACTTGTTAATAGATATTATCCAGTGAAATGGTAATAAATAGTTTAGCTTAATTCTCGTTTTTCAACTTTTCTTAGGTAGTAGGAAACAAAGGATAATTAAGAAATTGGTCATTATAGTGTAGTAACAGTAGCCTAAAGACAGAAAGAAGTTTAGCTACAGAATAGAGATGCATATTAAAGAGCATGGCTTATAACAACTGCTTTCAAAATGATGGTATCAAAGAAGAGAAAACTAATCTAAAAGCACAAAAATACCTGCTCTTCTGACTGATAATGAGCTAGATTTTAACCCAGCAAAAAGGGAAAAAAAAAAAAAAAAAAAAACTCATTCATTGGCCGTAAAACGTAAAGAAAAAAGACTGGAACGAAACCCCTAATCAACAAACACGGTTCATAATGCTAATGAGAATGAGATGCTAAAAGAACAGAAAAGACTCAAGGAGCTTCAGCTAAGGGGTATAATAAAATAAAAACGGAAAAAGCCAACAAGAGTGGAAACATAAAATAACACAAAGGGAATAATGAAAGGTAGCGATTGCATGTAATTAGGGTATGGTTAAGGTTAAAAACTGCTCTGTAGATCAATCTCTCATATTAATCAAGTTCAATGATCTCAGGAGGCGCCTGGGTAGCCCTAGGTGAATTGGAGGGAGCGCTAGTTGTAGCTGTCGCCTCTTCACCCTCTTTCGTTAAGGGGCCTCGGGCGGTCTTCCCGGTACTAGGCTGACGCATGACAACTTCCCAAGATTTATCGGCTCGAACTCTTATAGCAGTAACGTCATCTAGCTGTTTTCGATTAGCAAGCTCTTCCCGAACCTGAACTAGAAATTGATCAATAAGTAAACGTTTTGGTCGCGCGTCTTCATTGCAGATTGGACATTTCCAGTCCTCTGCCATGCCATGAGGCCCTTTTGCTACACGAGAGAGCCTTGTATCCAGGAAAGTATTGAGGTCGAAACATTCAGTATGCTTGCAAGAAACTGTGCGGACCGGGACGTCAAAAATACGAGCCATAAAAGGGTCAATTATGGGTATAGTTATGAAGTCATCAACGAAGCAGAGTTCATCAGTGTTAACTGTGTTGTTGGTCAGCCTATTAAAGATGAGGTTGAGAGATTGAGGCTGTGAAAGAGTCTGAATCGCCTCTCGAGTTCGTTTATATGAAGCCACATCTATCACTTCCACTGCTATGGCAAATTTTTTCTTGTATGCTTCTGGCGGACCAATGATGGTGATCTTAACCTCATTTGCCCCTGGCTTAAGGACTCTATTAATGGAAACTGGTAAATCCTTTCCAAAATGAAATCTTCGCTGGAGGAAGTGTTCATGGCCATTGACGTGGATATAAATGGCCGTAGGCCATGTACATTCAGTAGCCATCCATCCCTCCTCGGTCAAAGAGTGGGTATCAGTAACATGCACACATTTAATTTGATAAGTCTTACATCCATCGAAGACACCTTGAGTAATATGACATGTATTAGGCGGCTTAAGGTGTCGCGGAAGTGCGGCATGCTGACTTTGCGATAGATTAAATGTGTGTTGAGAGTTAGACTGCATCCAATCCAGGCATGTGGGGGATATGGCAAATGACTCAAAAGAATGGAATAAATTTTCACCAGGCTCCTGAGAGCCGGGTTTTGGCAGAGAAACGTTGACAACCCTTAAGTGAGCTAGGTGAACGCTAGCGTTTGGAGACGGATTGGCAGGTGGAAGAGCGTTTGCATTGCGAGGAGGGAATAGTGGCGTCCCAACAGGTTGGGGTGGAACGGGGGGACTTGGATAAGCCTGGTAGGATGGCAAGAAACAAGGGATGATGGGGGTAAGTGTAGCAGTAGAGTCTGTCACTGGTTGACGGAGTCCATGAGCATATGCCGGTATTGTTATAGGTGAAGGATTAGTCAAGGTAGTTGCGGTACTCGGGATATCTGTTGATGGTTGCTGCTGGAAGATTGGCGGAAGTGGCTGAGGAAAGGGCTGTAATCCGGTTGTGGCAGCACTTGGGAAGTGTGAATACTGCTGGCTCGGTATTAAACCGGGTGTTGGGTGCGGAGGCACTGGGCGCGGAGGCACTGGGCGCGGAGGGAGCGGATGGCTGGAACGGAGAGGTTGAAGTATGGGAAGAGTGTTGTAGGAGGGTTGTTGATGGTAAACAGATTGCTGCGGGACCACAGGCTGCATAACTGGCACAGAAGGTGTACCTTTGGGAGGGTATTTTTCACCTATTTTCTGATACATCAATGCCAGCTGTCTATTTTCGTTCTGAATATGCGCTTCTGTGACAGAATTCTGTGTATTGGCTCTCTTCAAACGATTTCTGTAAGAATCGATATTCTTCTTGAGGATATGCTTCCACGCCTCTCGCAGCCCTGGTGCCCGGTTTGCAACGAGTCTAGAAACGCAACCAGAGTAGAATATACCATGCATGACATTTGAATGAACGCCGAGAGACGTTACGATCTCGTCTAGCAGAGGTGGATACCCACGATTGATCACATTTGAGAAGAAAGGAGGCCAGGTATTTATCAGAGAAGCCGCCCAGCTTATAATGGCGCTCACCGCAGCCGCGTATTGTTTATCCCGAGAAACGATGGTCGGATAATCGGAAGGGAAGGCACTGAAGTATTCTATAAAACCGGCGGAAAGTTTTGTAGAATTAGAAATTAAGCCTAGAACCGTTTGGATGCCTCTCGTTGCATAAGTTCCGATACCTGGATATGACCCGTAAAATTTGAGGGACAAGCAGTACAGCTGATGAAGCGCGAGATATTGGAGATCGTAGCTTAAACAGGCATCCCTTAGCATGTGAATGAAAGTAGATTCGGCCGGCTGGAATTTTGGGACGATGCTTTCTAAGAACAGTGCGCAAGAGTTCAAAGCCTGGGGGGAGAGGTCTGTTAGCGGTTGTTGGAGGGGCGGTAGCGCGTTCCCAGGCAGGTTTGTCCCCACTCCGGTAATGAGAGGCGTAAGTGACGGCGGTTGCAGCAATACTGGTGTGTGGAGAGCAGAAGCAGTAGCCGTTGCAGTGGTAACAGCGGCAATGCTGGCAGTGGACGTGGTGGTTGTCGTGGTAGGAGTAACAGGGGTAATAGGAGCAGTGGGATGAGAAGTAGTCGTTGGCGGTTGGAAGGTTGTTAGACGCGGGCGCTTATTTTGATGCTTGTCCTGGCCTTCGCCGTCCTGCTCACTGGGCTGAGCTACCTCCGCGAGTGGATGTTCCTGGGGGATAGTTGAGCGGTCAACTTGAGGACTATCCCGAGATGCCTGAGAAGCGGAAGAGCCTTGCCCTGGAGGAGCAGTATGATGCCCTAAAGTTGGGGCAACTGAGACAACTGGCTGTTCAATGTCAGCAGTTACTTGGTTGGCACAAGGTGTATCTCCAGCTGGATGGGACCCATGACTAAGGCTTGGAGACGGCAGAGGTTGGATGGTCTGCTCCACTGTTTGTGCTGGGTGGACTGGCTGCTGCACCAGCTGATCTTGCTGCACCGTGGCTGGGGTGATAGGTATAGCTGGAGGAAGCATGTTGGGTGATACCGGCGAAAGACATTGCGTAGGGGCGGCATCCTGGGGCTCCCTGGAAGCTGGTATATCTCCATTTGTATTTGTATTTCCCGGGGGACAAATCGCGTCTTTTGAACCTAGGTTACGGCCTGGCTGGGTTTTATTAGCTGGAGGAAGGGGCCGTGAAGGTCTGCGCGTGATAGTAGGGGAAGCAGGGCTGGATATGCTTGCATTCTGCATCCATGCCTTTGGCCTGCTTCCTAGAAAGCGACTGGCAGTGGAATTTGACGCGACAAGCCCAGAATCATTAGCCTGCTGTCTTATAGACGCTGCTGGTTGTTTTCTTGTATTTGAGGATATCATCTTTGCGTCACGTCCACAAGATACATCCGGACCTCTGGTTACATCATACAGAGGTGATTTCCTTTTTCTCTTGTGTTACTAAATAGCTGGCTTGATCACTAACACGCAATCCTCTTCCACCTTCTATAGCAAGAAATAAATAAATAAAAAAAAAAAAAAAAAAGAGGACAGAGATGTAGGGAACGTGAGGGAGGCAGAAAATAAAATAATAAGAAGGGGACTGCTTAGGTTGTTAGTGTAAGTTTAGGCAGTGGAGCAGCGATGTTTTAAGTATAAGTTGCTGCTTCTCTGCCCCTCTGCGTCTCTGTTTGGTGTGTTTTGACAAGAGGGAGTAGACCAGGCCAGGGCGAACCAAGGGGCTGGCTAAGGTTGATTGTGCTTTTAGGACAAAGAAACCTCTTTCTCCTGTCCTCCCTTGGCTGCTTCTTGCCCTGCTTCTTGCCCCCTTCTTCCTCTTTATCAGTGGGTTTTCTTACAAGAAACTTGTAAAAGAACTCTTTTCGACGCCCTTTTTTATATTTCGGAAGCTCGAACCCGGGCGCTTAAATTAACTTTGCGGTATTGAATGAAGAGGTTAGCTTTTACCGCGTCTTACCGGGCTTGGCAGTCACTTGTGCGGAGAGTGGAGCCGGCGGGAGGGTATGTCACTTACAGCCGTAACTTACACGGACTAACCTTCTTCCATGACAATATTAGGTAATCAACTTATCCACTGCCCACCTAACCTACTAACCTACCTCGGTAAACTAACTACCTACCTTAGGTAATAATCAAGCTTACCTAAGCGGCGCTTGCCCTTTTTTTGCCTTTTGCCTTTTGCTTCGTCCCACGTCGAACTTCTTGCTTTCTCGTCCATCTCGTCGTCCTCTTCCTCTTCTTCCTCCTCTGCCTCGACGTCGACGAAGCCCGTCCTGCTCCTCCTCCTCCTCCTCCTCCTCCTCCTGCTGCTGCTGCTGCTGCTGATCTACCTTCTCCCGAGCTGCTGGCTGCAACGATGTTCATCGCATGCTCACGTTCTGCGCATGTTGAGTCTTCCTCCTCCCCTCTAGCCATCAACCCGGTGCGCCGCCCTTAGCTCGGTTAGTTGCAACGTCGAGCCAGTCGAACCAAGCCAGAACAGACGCACTCCTAGAACTACTCACAACTCCCCACCCCCTTCTTCAACGTTGGGCAGCTTGACTGGAACCAACGCTGCTCTAGAGAATTGGTTTTTCGGCCGGCTCTCCCTCTCACTCCGTCTGTTTTTGATTCCGGTGCGGTTGTCTTGTGTCTCACGGCCTCCCTCGACCCGTGGTCGACATCCAACTTTCTGTCGCACCCGGCGGGTCGAATATATCCCAATCTTTCAAACGGCCTGTCACAAGTTTTTGTCGGGTACGACTACTAGAACCAGGGCTATCCTCTGACCAAAGCTCCTTCTCTGTCCCCTCCGTGGGTTGTCTACGGCAGACCCTAGTTTTACGGCGCCAAACCCTGACGGGTTCAAATAATTTTTTTTTTTTTTCTAATACCCTCTCCTTGATCTATTCCAAGGGGTGATCGTGATTGATATATAATCGAACATGCCACAACGTCCAACGAGTGCGCGCGATGCTCATCCGGGCGACGTCCTTTTAGTCAATCGTGAGTGGTTTTTCAAGCGTTGTCACCGATATTCATCGTCATCAACATCATCATTGCTAACCTAGACTTTAATCGTAACAGACGACTTTGATGCTCGAGGTGCGGATGAGCTGACCCTAAGGCGAGGCGACAAGGTTGAGCTCCTTGAGCTAGACGAAGGGTTCGGGGACGGCTGGTACCTCGGTAGACACGTAACGGAAAATCGAACAGGCTTGTTTCCTGGAGGTAAGCTGTCACAGAGTTAGAATTGCTACTGTTATGATGGTTAACTCTAGGTGGCATAGTTTATACTGTGATCGCTCCCAAGATCGGCGTCAGGAAGACAAAGGATGCTACGCTCTCTGCAGAGCCACCTTGGGACCCTGCTACTCCTGAGGTCGGTTCTTCCTCTCTGGGCAGCAGTTGTGACCCTGTCTCTCCAGTGTCGAATGACGAAACTACACCTCAGCCCTCAAGGCATGTCAGCGCCATTGACATGAAGCCCTTGTCTGATGCGGAAGCCGAATCAGGTAGCGGCGTCGCAACCAGCCACTTGTCGCAACAGCGGCCGGCTTCCGCGGGCTCTGCACAGCCATCTCCGACCATTCAGCGGACAATTAGTGAGACACTAGGGAATATGTCTATCAGTGGAGAGGAAAGCCCCGTTTTGAATGAGACATTGAGTGTGATTGACGAACACATTACCAATTTCAGTACTCCACGACATAGCATTGCAACCCAGGAAAATCATAGCGTGCATGATTCCAGTAGTGAGTACAGCAGTTATCCCGATCATCGCATGTCGTACATTCGTGGTGAGGAGACCGACGAAGAGGAAGAACAAATTCCAAGCGAGGCACAGGTTCGAAAGTGGGATCATCGTCAAATGGCCCGCCATCTGAGAGAAATCGGGGTCGATCCAAAGCACTGCGATATATTTGAATCCCAGGAGATTTCTGGTGATGTCCTCTTAGACATGGACCAAGAATTCATTTATATGAGGGAGTTCGATTTCGGAGTCATGGGGAGGAGACTCAAGACATGGCATAAAATAAGAGCATTCCAAGAGGAGATACAAGGCCCAAGGCACTTGAGGAAGGGAAGCTCTCATGGCCCTGAAGACTACGATCGATCCCAGACGAAGTCAGTGATGTCAGGTTCTTATCTTCCCCGCATCCCTAGCTTGGGTGAGAGACATCATCACAACCCGCGCAGTTCTAGAGACAGGAGTACGGTGAAGTATCGTGACACATCTTATGGAACACAAGCTTCTGCTCCTCCATTATCCCAACCACATGATGCCGATGCCACTACCAGGCCGTCCGCGGACTCCATTCGCCGGAGCAACCACCATCGATATTCTTCTATTGAAAACACATCCGTCTTCCCCTTGGCCGACTCTAGCGCATTTTCTGCATCAAGGAAAGCACCAGCTCCACCCCATGAGAAGAAACCCTCCTTCGATCGTGGTTGGACCATGAATGCCCCTTTAACAGCCAATAGCAGTAGCAATGGACAGCGGCCAAGCAGTTCCTTAGCGGCAACCAAGCATTTCTACAAAACTGAGAGCAACAAGACGGATGATTCTAGTAATGGTTTTGGTTCTCCTGACATTGATCGAGGATATTTCTCAGGCGGCGATGTTGAAGGCCAAAAACAGCGCAGGGTTCTTCGCAAGAGGGACTCCAGCAAGAGGAGCTACAGCCACTCTAGGCATTCAAGTCTTGCTGCAGTGGCTGACGATAAGAAAAAGAGACACACTAGATTCGGCAGCACAGGTTCTATGAGAGACTTGACTTCTATGAAGCCATTGTACCCGAAGACGCACTCTCAGGATATCACCAACAGTGCCCTTGAATTGCTTGAAGACGAATCCCATTCACCGACCGTTACAAACCTGGAGACAACACCTGAATCTCCAACAGGGTTTTTGTCATCCATTGTTGGTTATGGAAAGAGTCACGAAGCTTCTGGACGGTCATCCCCATTACCATCCACCTCTAGCTTAAAGGCTATCACGCCAAAGGTAAGAAGGACTATTGGGCTTCGTGCTATATCTGATGCTGTTACTGGCAGCGAAAAAACTCGTATCAGCTCTCCTATACCTTCATCTGGCAGGGATTTACCACAGTCACCCACTCGAACAGATTCTAGCACACCGTCGGGGACTGGGACCAGCAGAAGCCTAGAAATGGATAGCATGGAGAGCTCCAGACTCGAGAGTCTCGCGGTTATGAAGAACGGGAATGGAAGCCAACGAAGCAAGTCAAAAAAGGATACAAGTGCCTATCGCCGTGGCCTAGAGAAGAAAACTCCAAAGGAACAGATGAAAGATGCCGATTATTATGGCTGGATGAAGAAAAAATCTTTCAACCTAATGACAACTTGGAAACCGCGTTTGTTCATCCTCAAGGGCCGTCGCCTGTCATACTACTACTCTGAGGACGATACTGAAGAGCGTGGCCTAATTGACATTTCCTCTCACCGTGTGTTCCGGGCTGATCAAGATGCAATTACATCCCTGCATGCCACTCTAACGAGAACCAAGCCCCTGCCTACTACCACATCTAACAACGATATTCAACATGAAGAAACTGAGCCTGAGGAAAAGACCGGGGGTTCTAGACGTAATAGCTCCGCAGAACCACCATTTATCTTCAAACTGGTTCCACCAAAGGCTGGCATTTCCCGCGCTGTCCAGTTCACTAAACCAGCCATCCACTTTTTCCAAGTTGACAATATTCAACAAGGCCGTCTCTGGATGGCGGCCATAATGAAAGCTACGATTGAACGAGATCTAAATCTGCCTGTGAAGACGACGAATAAACAAAAGACCATCACTTTAAAGCAAGCACGTTTACTTGCTCAATCGTCCCCCACTCCTCCTCTTGATTCAAAGTCAAGACCACCAAAGCCAGAGGAAGAGAGCTCTCGTAATACGTCTACTTCCAATAGCGCAACTCTTGCAACAACTGCGGAAACTAGCACTACCGATTTCCAAAAGATTGCTATAGATACTGGCTCCACCTCTCTATTCCCAGATTCGGTTTCCGTGGATCAGACCCAAACTTCCAGTTAAGTGAACGTCTCCTTCTAAGTCTACTGGCTTGGGTTCACTTTTCTGCTTTTCACGTCCCAAACGGCCTACTTCACCACTTTATCGCATATACTTCTAACTCCGTTTTACTCTTCCTTTCCTTTTCTCCGGGCATATTTTCCCCCTCATATTTTCTTTCCCTCACGCATTGCCCCTCTAAAATCTATCTCATTTCCGTTTTCTTTTTCACTTGATTGGTTTAACAAGTAGAATGTTCGAGCATTACGACAGGCGTCCCCACGGATATACCCCTTATTTTATTTACTTCCCATATATTCCTCTCTTAATCTACTATATCCCTCCATTACCACCCAATATTTTGAAATCTCCTCTGATTAATGGCTTGCTTTTTGTCTGTTGATGTTTATAGCGAGGTCACTCATCCTACGCCGCCCTGCAAAACTCTACCCTTGACGAGGGAATTCCGGCAGTTCTCACATCTACTGATACTATCTACTTAATACGATCTTTAATATATGGTTTTCCTTTATGACTCTTGTTCGCTTCTTGTTCATTATTTGTATGATAGTTCCTATATCTTAGGTGGAATTTAAGACGTTGAGTAACAACATAGACAGGTGGAATGGACGACGGCATAGAAACCCCTGAATCTGTACCTCAAGCGTAAAAGATATTTCGCCGTACCCACGGCACTCCACTTACACTTACATATCAAGTCCGGAATACGGAAGCTGCCTCTCAGCTTTGCAATGCTTTTATTCTATCAAGATACTCGTGCCAAGGACGAGCCACGCTGCCTGCCTGCGGATGCTGATATAACTAACCAACTTGGATAGTTAACTAGTTAGAGCTTAATCTAAACACAAAGATCGAAGACGCCCTGCGCCATCAAATTCTCGCCAGTTCATGATATCAGCAACACTCTCCTTTTACGTTCGCTTTTCGAGAGACGTCGGATGCTAATGCATCTGTGTTTTCCCGCAATTCTCCAGCGGGCTGTCGCTGTTCTCCTGCCAGTATCCGCTGTCTCTCTTTGTTACCTTTATCTTTACCCCTTATTTCACGGATGTGCTTTTCCTCTCCCAGCCTCTACAAACGGCAGCGCCAGCTTCTACCCTCCATATACCGGTGATGCTTATCTCAATACCGTCCGCGAACACGTTGGCCTCCGCGACTACACTCAACAAAGCCCCAAGTCTGCACCGTTTCGGCTGCTTGTGCTTGCTGACCCGCAGCTTGAAGGCGACACTTCATTGCCTAAGCCAGATGATGCATTCCTACCACAGATTAAGAAGCACTGGGAAGACGTAACATCCGCTGGTTCGATCTCCGAGTGCTATTTCGCCACTGTGAAAGGTATACGCGATGTGGTACTGACGGACATACCTCGACTGGGTGGAACGATTCGCAAACGGCTTGATCTTCTCGGAAACGATTATTATCTTGCGCATATATACAGAACATTGTCGTGGTGGAGCCGTCCTACTCATGTCACTGTTCTGGGGGACCTTATTGGGAGCCAATGGGTGTCAGACGAGGAATTTAATATTCGTTCAAAGAGGTATTGGAATAGGACCTTTCGAGGGGGTGTGAAGGTGCCAGATGATATGATGGCTACTGGAAGAGATGGATATACTCAACAAACTGGTGTCAGCATGGGCCAGGAAATCGTTCTTGATATTGATACAGATACTTGGTCAAATCGGATTATTAATATTGCTGGAAATCACGATATTGGTTATGCAGGTGATATCTCTCAGAAACGAATAGATCGATTTGAAAGGGAGTTTGGCCGTGCTAATTGGGATGTTCGATTCAACCTACCGGTGACAGAGCTTGCTCTGGATCTCAATGATACGCACAGAAAGTCTGGATCAATTCCTTCTATACACTTGGTTGTGCTTAACACTCTTACCTTTGATACCCCAGCGCTAGACGTTTCTATTCAAGGAAAATCATACCAATATCTCAATGATGTGATTGACCGTTCACGCCCAGTCGAAGACAGAACAACATTTACCCTATTGCTAACTCATCTCCCGCTCCACAAACAGGAGGGAGTATGCACTGACCCACCTTACTTTTCTTTCCATAATGAAGACGATCAACATCCCAAAGACGATCAACCGAGGTTCAAGGCCGGTGGTTTGAAAGAGCAAAATCACTTAAGTGATTATGTTAGTCATAATGGCATTCTGCAAGGCATATTCGGGATGTCGGGAGACCTCAACGCCCCATATTCTGGGAAAGGGCGTAATGGCTTAATATTGACAGGCCACGATCATACTGGGTGCGATGTCCTTCACTATGTGGACAGGAAAACAGGTAGTGATGGTGAAAGTGGTGATGCTGAAAGTGGTGATGCTGAAGGAGAGCGCATATCAAACGCCGCCTGGTCATGGAATGCAAAGAAATACCCTACTGAGGTGCCTACAGGGGTACTAGAATCAACTAGCAGTGCCTCAGGTTTTGACTCGGCCTTTACACCAACTCCAGCTATTCGAGAAGTCACGCTTCGCTCGATGATGGGAGAATTTGGAGGCAATGCTGGACTTTTGTCGGTCTGGTTCGATGCTGAATCATCTCAAGAATGGAAATACGAAATTACAACCTGTCAGCTAGGTATTCAGCATATCTGGTGGGTAATCCATATTGTTGCGCTGGCAACTCTCATAGCTGCTTTGACCTGGGTGACTATCTTAATCGTCCCCAGCCGGTCACCCCTTGTTGACAAGCGGAAGGTATCAAAAGGAGCAACCGAGGAGAAAAAGAACAAGGACTCAGGAGCGACCTGAAACAGCTACGTTCGGGAGTTTGTGACCAATTGGGCCATGAGATCGGATGAGTATATGATCAATTGAATAGAGTTTTGGAGGAATTATTTGAGTTCTTACTACTAGATAGTATGCATTACTGGCGTTCTTTTGTTAATGTTTCCCAACACTTCATATATAGCAATAAAGTGGCATTTATACCATCAGCAACGTAGTTTTAATCTTGGAACGTACTTGGGAGAAATATATCAGAATTGTCAAGGCCTGGCATTCGGAGATCGCTCCTGTAGGACACCTACTCCATGGATAAAGCTCAATGGATGTACATGTCCAATAAACCAGTGCATACCTGTCAATTGTAACCTACGAAAAAAACCTCGATCTCTACTGGTTATGATCTCCGTCGATTTATTATTCATGTTATATTTGAGACTTGACTGTGTATATCTCAGTGAAAGTCGGGTTTTTCCCACCGAGGCTCGGAAGTGAGGCCCGCATGGGGAAGTGCTATGCTCTCATACAACAGGGATGACCGCCAGAGCCAAACATGGGAAAAGGCGAGAAAACTATGGCTGTATTTTTGCGTATCACATAAAATTAAGAATCAATGCCCCTGATAACCTGCCACCAACCTCTTACATCACAACACCAGAGTTACTGGCAATACGCTAGATGAAGAAAAAAACAGTTAGTCAGAGCACAGCTTGCAGCACTGGCTTTGATTTAAAAAGGGACTTACAGGCCATAGTTCCGCGGCTTCCTTTCCAACTGGTCCTGTGATGGCGGATCCCTTCATTTCACCCTTGGCGTTGACAATCTATATAATTTAATTATTCACGTTAGTGACTCTGCTATAGGACCGAAGTGACTGGGAGTCGAGCAATGAGCACTTACGACACCAGCGTTGTCCTCAAAGTAGAGGAAGACACCGTCAGGTCGCTTCCATGGTTTGCTCTGTCGGACAACAACAGCGGGCATAACCTTCTTTCTCAACTCTGGCTTTCCCTTCTTAACGGTAGCCATAACCATGTCACCAACACCAGCAGCGGGGAGACGGTTGAGGCGAGCACCGGTGGCCTTGACGGAGATGATGTAAAGATTTCGGGCGCCGGAGTTGTCACAGCAGTTCATGACTGCACCACTATGTTGAGGGTACAGATATCAGTAAAGTTGAACATGTAACGTCCTGCCATCGAAAGAACTCCGTCATCCACGCTTAATTCGATCACCCCCAATGGGCTAATCCAGCTTTTTTGTAAAAAATAGTCTCTATTCGCATATTTTTTTCTGTCCTTCGTAGGCGAATGGCGCAGTGGTGTATTTCATGTCGGATACTGGGGAAATCGCAGATACGTACACTGGGAGACCAAGGGTCATCTTCAGCTTGTTGCCGGCGGCACCGCCACGACTAATATCACACAAATTATGTTAGCTATATTCCTCTGATTTGCGATGCTGCTGCTGTGCTCGTCTGCTTTTCGCTTTCTAGACTTGAAGTACAAGCCTCAACGCAAGAGCTTGCATATCAGCGGACACGTCAAAATGTGGCCAGGCTTACCCTCTCTTCGACATGATGACAGATTTCTACCGACACAGGGAAACGACGTAAGAAGGCTGGGTGGTCGTGGAATCCGAGAATTGACAACTTGCGATCTTCAAATTCAGGCGTTTCGACGGTTTCCAGCAAAGATGGATTTCGCTTAATGTGGGCAGAGAGAAAAATCTTGGCGGTGTTTTCTGGTTGGCCCAAAACAGAATAGCGTGTTTCTATTCACGTGATTTACCCTAGACCTAAAATAATGACCGATTAGGGAGTCATGTGATCTTAAGTTATCCATGGATTAGGCTGGGTCCATCGTTACAGGGCAGATACACAAGAGTAGATGGTTTAGATGGCGAGAGCAAAGCAAAGCTGGCAAAGAATAAGGCATTGTCAAATGGCAAAGAAAAAAACCAGAGAAGAACAATTGACGTATTCACGGAACATACGTCAGAGACAGCCGACGCCTCCTTTTCCATATGTCATTCCTCGCCATGCTGGACCCCAAAGCAAAACTCCTAGATGGATATTTCCCCCAAGCGCCAATAACAGTTACATAGCAACAGTGTGTTCAATTTAGAAAAACCAGAAGATAACAGGAAGGAAAAGGGAAGAGCACCAAGTTACTCTTTCTCTTTTGGAGCCTCCTTAGACTCATCAGTATCAAGCTTTGTTTCCTTGGCTTCCGTGGTATCAGTAACCTGCGTAGGCTCTGTCGCAGTGTTTTCTGCCCCAGAAGCATTCGACTTGGTTTCTTCAGCCACTGGGGGTTTTGGGGGTGTCGTCTCCCGTGCAGGAGCCTTTGCAGCAGCTTCATCCTCTTGTTCTTCGGCTGGAGGTTCTAGCTCGATAGTTTCGTCCATATTAACATCTGCGTCTTCCATGGTGGTGTCCCCGTCAGCATTGTCATGAGGGACTGCTAGATTCGAGGCAGGTGTGGAAACGGGAGGCTCTTTCTCCTCGACCTCTTGGGCGGCACCGTTGGTTTCGGCGACGGGAGTCTCATCATCCTCCATTTGTGAATCTGGCTTGGCTAAAGGTTCAACGGCAGGAGGAGAGGGCTTGGCAGGAGGTTCTGCATTTTCTGTTTCGTCCATCTTATCAGCCTGCTCAGGCTCCTCCTCCGGCATGGATGACTCGTCTCGAGGAGTAACAATCCCACTGTCTATAATGGAGTCCCCATCCAGGTGACGGTGATTGATATTCCCTCGCCTCCTTTCTCTATTGGGCTGACGACGGACACCGTTTGCAGCTGCGGATTCTTCATCTTCACTCTCGCTTAGTTCGCCATCTTTTTCGACGTAGTTGTCAAATCGTCGTTTTGTATATCTCTTATCCTTATTTTCATCTTCATCAAGGTCATCGAGGATAGCATCCGCTTCGTCATCCATACCATCAACTAATGGGTCCCTCGGGACATCTGTCATTTGGACTGATGGAGCAAACGTAGTGCGCCGTAGATTTTCAACAACTTGCATTCGAATCTTTTCCAGGTACTCCTTGGAGTTGGCATTATCCATGTTCGATGGCCGAACATCCAATTCATAGTCAGGAGAAAAGTACTGAAATACAGTAAGCACGCAGCCTGCATAGAGTGTTGGATAATCTGAAAAACTTACTTCATAATAGTCGTTATATGGAAGCTCTGTTGGAAGCTGATTTCCAACAAGCACACCAGTTTCATATGCCCATGTTCGAGCAACGTTTCTCATTGTGTAACCACCACCGCCCAGGATTAATGTAGGGAGGTTGAAGCTTTTGACGTATTTAACGCAGTTCGCATGGCCGCGCATACTCAAGTTGAAACATCCCAGACGGTCACCAGACAAACTATCACCACCGCACTGAAGGACGACAGCCTCTGGGCGGTACCATTCCATAACATGTTTGATAACCGGTTCAAAGATGCCTTTATAAGAAACGTCATCTATGCCATCTCTGAGAGGAAAGTTGACAGAATAATACTTCCCTGCACCGACACCAATGTCGCGCAGTTCGCCGGTTCCGGGGAAGTATTCTCCATATTTATGGAATGAGACCGTCATAACGCGGTCGGTAGTATAAAATGCTTCCTCGACACCATCGCCATGGTGGACATCAATATCAATATAAAGAACACGCTGTTTGAAACGCAGAAGCTCGAGAATGCCGAGAACAATGTCTTAAATGAAAAATTATCAGCTTCGTTCTCGAAGAAAGGAAGAAACGGGTGTAAGACCTACCGTTAACGTAACAAAAACCGCTTGCTTCACTTTTCTTTGCGTGATGAAGACCACCTGCCCAGTTGACTGCAATGTCGCATTTATTTCTGTTGAGGCGCGCAGCACCTTCCATAGAGCCTCCTGCGCTGATTCCACAGAACTCAAAAAGACCGTCAAAAACGGGGCAGTCATCACCAACATTATAACGGCTCTGCTCCTTCGCGTACTGGTCCATATTATCGGGTGTAACTTTGGCAAGAAAATCTATGTATTCATCGGTATGAAACTGCGTCATCTCAAATTTGCTGGCGGGTTTCGCGCGCTATAAATTATGTTGTTTTCCGTCAGTTATCAATCTCCTGTTTGAATTTCCGTAATGAAAAACAGCAAAAATAGGCTCAAAAAGTATGAAACAACGGGCTAGACAAACTTACATATATCTCCATCTTTTTATAAAGTCCATAGTTCATCACCAAGCTGTGGGTCATCCGAATGCGATGAGGCTTCATGGGGTGCCCAGCGACGTAGGCATAATTGCCCACATCGGAGTCATAGAAGTAGGCAATGCGCTTCTTATCCGTGGACCCATTCGTAACGGGAGCATCTAGCGGTGCAAACCCGGTCATGATGGGCAAGCCTTGGGTAATTCGGGTAACGGAGGAGCTTCAAGAACAGTTTGCAGGTATATAGTTGTTCTGTCGCAGTAAACCAAGCCTGCGAAAGTGGTAGAGGAGGTCAAACAGTCAGAGAGGAACAGCAAGCCCCATAGCCCGTAGAGAACACAGTGAGAGTAACAATATCGCAAATCAAGGAGTCCTGTTAAGAGCTTTGCTGCTGCTGCTGCGAGCAAACGTAGAATGCGAAATGATGAAATGTTTCTCCTTGGGCGATGAGAAGTTGAAATGCATGAGCAGGAACGGCTGACTAAGCAGGAACCCGGCTCCCGGATTAACTTGCCGGAACCAGCTGGCGCCTCCATCATCCTGGAGGTGGATTAGGTAGAGGTTCGGCCAAAAAAGAGCGTTCGTGGACCTTAGAAAGCCAAAGCAAAGCAAAGCAACAAGCTCGACTCCTACCTTTCCTTTGCCCTTTCTTTCACCTGCTTCTTCTTGCTCCCAGGCCGGTGACTCGTGGCTAGGAAGATACCGGCCGTTTGTGTGCGACACCTTTTTCTACCTTTTTCACCGCAGCTACACTTCAAAGCTTCCTCGCAATAAGGCACAACAGGCTGTCGTCATGGAACGGTTTAGCCGAATGTTACAAGCTGCCCAGGGCATGGGCATGAGTAATGCTCCTCAGGGGGTAAGATATCATTCTATGTCCACCTTGTTTCTATGGCCATGGCGCCTTTTGCGTTTCGTGGAAACCCCATATCTGACCCGAGGCCTGAATAGGATACTCCCAACCTTATTGATAACTCCGAGACCGTTCATATATCCTCTCTAGCTCTTCTTAAGATGTTACGGCATGGCCGTGCGGGTGTACCCATGGAAGTGATGGGCTTGATGCTGGGAGAATTTGTGGATGAATACACAGTCAGAGTTGTAGATGTGTTCGCTATGCCCCAGAGTGGTACCGGGGTCAGTGTCGAAGCTGTTGACCCCGTATTTCAGACGAAGATGATGGAGATGCTTCGACAGACCGGAAGGTACAGTGATACAGATTACAGTTTATCCCTGCTTCCATGGTTTATTTGTTCTTTTACTCATAAGTGAATTTACAGACCAGAAACCGTCGTGGGATGGTACCACTCCCATCCAGGTTTTGGGTGTTGGCTTTCTTCAGTTGATATCAACACTCAACAATCTTTTGAACAGCTCACTCCTCGTGCCGTTGCCGTTGTCGTTGATCCTATACAATCCGTAAAGGGGAAAGTCGTCATCGATGCTTTCCGATTAATATCCCCTCAGACTCTTGTCATGGGCCAGGAACCTCGTCAGACCACATCTAACCTTGGACACCTTAATAAACCATCCATTCAAGCTTTGATTCACGGCTTGAACCGTCATTACTACAGTATTGCCATCAACTACCGAAAGACAGGCCTGGAAGAGAATATGCTCATGAACCTCCACAAGCATGTATGGACTGAAGCTCTTCAGATGAACGACTTTAGGGAGGAGCGCAAAGAAAATGTGGAGCGGCTACAGAAGCTTGTTGGACTTGCTGAAGGATACGAAAAGAGGGTTAAGGAGGAATCGGAGCTGACACCGGAACAGCTCAAGACACGATATGTTGGAAAACTGGACCCCAAGAAACGTAGGACCCCCTTTGATCAGCGCAGCATTTATATTTATACCTTGACTAACTTTGAATTTCTCTCTCTAACAGACATTGAGGATGTTGGTCAACAGCTTATAGAGGACAACATCGTAGCTGTATCCCGACAGATGATTGATAAGGAGGCATCTCTAGCTCGAGATAGCCGATCAAAGGCACACCAGCAAGACATGATGGAGACCGATGAGGAAATATAATTTTCTGTTGCCTATGTATCATTATGTCCTCCCTCTGAAATACGACTTCATCTACATGATATACAGTAGTATTCTATATATTAATGACCCGTTCATAACTTAACAATCAATGATAAGAGCAATACTCAGTCTATTAATGTATGTACTTATATATGGAAAAAGTCTATCGATACAGTGAAAGTTGGAGCGCTATATATGTCAAAGAAAACCGGGGAATCATTAAATATCCAGACAAGTGCTTGTATTATCAACAGGGAGCAGTAGATGAATTCGAAGATTTGAAGGGACCAGCCCATCGAATCTTCTTCTTCGTGGTCTGAATTTCTTGAACCAGACCACTGACCAGGCCGCCATTTCTCTCGATCGACGAGTAACCATCAATGACAACATATCGCAAACTCGGAAGGTCTTTTAGTATGCCATGCAGGAGCCGGCATGAAAACTTGGTATAAAAATCCTTGGAAATGCGGAACGGCTCAAACATTGGGTTTGACGGGTCACACAGAACGAGTATCTCCAACGTATGGACTCCTTCCATTGATTTAAGCCCGAGTTTCTCATTTACAACCCAGGATTCCGGCGGCTCAGTCCAGCTCGAGCCCAGCACGAGCCGTAAAACCCTCACCGCACTCTTGTATCGGGGCGCGAGGTCGCAGACGTTCGGCACAATGGACGGCTGATGCTGTACGGGAAAGATGCGGAATGTGTACGAGGAGTAGAGGTATTGGGATACGTCGTCGTGGAATCGGCGGGAGGCCAGCATGATACTTGTACGCCTGTGCCGGCCAAACGGTGATGAGGCCAGCTCTTGGTCGGTTGGTTTACGGGCTCGCCTAACGGGTTTCACGATCCGGGGCGGTCCTGAAAAGACATACGAGTACACCTTACACCGGAGCTCCCAGGGCAGATCGAAGAATCTACACTCGTTTTTCTGCTCTTGCTCCTTCAGCTGGCGACTCACGCCCTTAGTGGATGGCGGTATCATGGTAGTCGTTGCAGGGCCGAAACCGAAAAAACGATAGAAAGGCATACGATGCTCAAAGCTGCAGAGGTCCCGACCACGCAGGTAGCCCGTCTACCATTCTCCGCTGATATCAAGCTGCTGCCAGAGAGCGAGTTCAACACGAAGCGACGGAAAAGAGCGTAACCGATGTGTCGACACCGACGGAGACCAAGCAACTCATAGGAAGCCCTAGCTGTTTCTCTTGGTGGCGCGATGGCTATATGAGATATGTCATATAGCCTTGATCTACCCAGCTATTACAACACAATGGGCACTGACGGCGAGCAAGGTGTCAAATTTCGCTCACTGGGGTCGATTAATAACTTTCTGGGAAGAAGAAGAGAAAG